GTAGGAGGACAGGTCAAAGCATTGTAAATGTTCACAGTTTACCGAGCGCACAGGGATCTGCAGAAGAGGCGGAGTTCACATATAATGCAATAAAATCAGTCATACCGTCAACTGACGAAAAACAAATTAACACATGCTGCGTACAAACAACCTGACGGTTATTTCAATCAAATAGATTTTAATAACGGACTTAACTACCTAACTGTCCTAACCCTCCTCCAAATCAACATGTTATGCACATAATCAGGTAATAACGAAACCGACAAAGATGATTTTCCACATCCTCATAAATGTTGCCGTTACTTCCCTCGTTAACAAAATTTATACGTGTCTTTTACACTGTAGCCAAAATACTACTCATCATTTCTGACCGGCTTTAACTGTAACTATCAGAAAATCATGGAATTATCCGCATGTTGCGTAAAATAACGATACGTTATACTTTTGGTGTGCATAAGCCGACACGTTATCTTCCACATCTCACTAAATCCTGCGTCATCACCTAGGCCAGACTCGGGAGCTTCAGTTGCCCAAAACGAACAACAGGCCCACAACCACATAATCTGATAAAAAATGGAAGGACTGATAAACATCTGGACAGATACAATCCTTAGACCTACTTAAGGGAAACCGATGCATCTGTAGGTGACTGTGTCCTTCAAGTAAGTGTATATCCAAAACCAACAGTTGCTAGAATCTGACATGTAAACAGTCGCTCACCAGACGAGTTGATTTGAGCGGATCGCTAGCTTAGTAGAGGAGAGCAGACCTTCTCCGCTCCTAGGAAAGCAGTTGCCTTCCTCATTTCAAAGAACCGAAAAGGCGTTTTGACATAACCATGACAAACTTAAGACAGAGGGGCTTCGTTTTAATACCGCCATTATACCTCTCACTTATGTACGATCCCAAACCCTCTTAATGAGGTCGATTATGTTAAGAATATAAGATAGGCAGTTTGTGGTCAGCGCGTCCATAAACAAAAGAGGCCGAGAGCGAGAGTATTAGAACGAAAACGGAACTTATGTGTTTAACTGGCAGTGCAAAATCAATAATGAATTTTTATTATCTATGCAGTTACATGTTGTGGTCGATAAGAAACGTTGCGTACGACACCATACAAACAAATCCTGTTTGCGAACACAATACACCCTCTACACAAATTTAGGTGATTGTCCTAAGAATGCCGTTTTAAAATTATATTGCGAAGAAGCAGCAGTTAACTCAAAATAGCACCAAATGAAGGCTTATGACCTTAAACAGAGAACTATTGCCTTCATGTGAAGATATTTCGTGCTAAACTGACCTCATTAAAAAGCCTATCAGAAGTCACTGCCGTGCTATGAAAGCTCACATTAACGGTGAAATAATATTGCTGAAAATGTGTGGACTCACTTCGATACGCGTGAGAGCGAGGGGGCAGAGTAAGGAGACAGGAATCCATCCATCGGACTGCAAATCATCCAACGAAGTAAGTTTGGACTTCACCATTGCCTACGGAAAGAATAAAAAATGTGTATTATCTGCGACAAATGTAGAAAAGTCTGTAAACGATATCTTAGGTTTACGCATGTTGGAAACTTTGGCAATTCTAAGCCGAGCCAGAAATAATTCCGAATGTAAAAATAACGAACAGAAACTTCTGGTAAGTCTACGCTATGGCGAAAAAAAGTTGTAATTCATTAAGTAGGAATACCATTATGGTTTTAAGCCACCAGGTGTGCAGATATAACCTTGACATGTGAACCCTACTTGATACTCAAAATCGCATCAAATTTATGCAGATATTCAGTCAGGATCAGCCATTATATTTGGAGTAAATAACATAAGCCCTTAAAAACGCCAGCAAAACTGTGCAGATATGCATGAAATGTAGTTAAGCTACAAAATGTTTTACAAGTAATATTAGTATATAAAATGCATAAAAAGGTGAAAGATTTGGAAATAACAATATGTAACACGTTCACGGCATTTGCACTATGAAATTTCCCCCTAAGTCAAACTTAAGTTAAGTAAATGGTCTTTTGAAATGAAGCCAGAGTAGAAAACTGGAAAATACTTCAATTCAACCCTTAGAGCAATGCTCCTAAAGGCTTAGGAAACTATAGGCAGAGCCTGAGAGGATTTCAAATTACAAAAGAAAGTGTACAGGATCTCCCTGTTAGTCTACGGTCGGGTGAAAAAAAGGTTTCTTCTTTAGGCATTAGTAAGTATGATAGCATTAAACCACCCAGTAGCAAGATGGGGCCTTAGTAACTAGAGCTTACTCGATCACCAAACTTGAACTAAACGTATGCGGTTCTGCATCAAAAAGCCGAGTCACGAGATTTATGTCGCGAATTTACACAACTAAATTGTATATGACAAAGAGGCTATCACAGTCAACTCCAAGTCTGTGGTTATAATCACCGATTGACTCAAGTATCTTATGTCTGTCACTCGTTTTGGTTAAGGTGTTATTTTCGATTAGAAACTCACGTGCGAATCCGATAGATCGAAACGAAAGACAAACGGTTTCCGCACCCGATTGGTCTCGGACACGCAACCGGGACATTTATGGATAGTTTCTACTGGTATTTTGCCAAAAGCTATTACATAATTCAGTCTCCCTAGTCTTTGTCGGCAACGTATTCGTTCTACAATAGGCTAGCCGTTGATCGGCTGCTGTGTGGACAGCAGAGCAAGCCCTAAGGCACAACGGAACGAGTAATTTTCACAGCCGATCGATGAACGCCTGTCTACCATTGTGGATATTCCTGATTGAAATTGGCAATGCCACGAGCCCATGGCACAGTGGCTAGAGCGTTGGACCTCTAACTAACAAGGTTGTGGGTTCGAGCCCCGGAGGTTGCCTCCCTCAGGTTGGGTATGGCTGGCTGATGACGGCTAATAAACTGGAACTGATCATTCCAAGCTACCTTGCCTTTGTTGCTAATGCATTTCTACATATAGTAAAATGAAATTCATGAGGCAAATAACTCACCAACGTTTCGGAGGCCGCGATCACGCGATCAGGAGACCTGCAAAAATCGTAAACCCCGATTAGTGCTTCCGGGGTCTCAGGCGGTAAGGGAGAAGGCTTCAAACCAGGAGG